CTTTAAGTTGGGTATGACATTTGCCACCAAACAGGAATTCAAAGAAGCTGTGGAAAATCTTGCATTTAAGAATGGTAAAGATGTGAGGTTTGTTAAAAATGATAAGGAACGGGTTGTTATGGAGTGCAAGCATATAGGTTGCCCATGGAAGATGAATCTTAGAAAAGTAATGAACTCTCATTCTTGGGTGATTTTACAGTACCATTCCACACATGAAGGTTGCTCTTGGGTCTATCACAACAAAATGGTGAACTCAAGCAAGGTAGCAAATAGGTGGTTCAAAGAGATTGAAAGTCACTCAAATTGGAAAACTAAAGAGTTTAGACAGAAAGTATGTACTGAAGAACGCTTCCATTTAAGTCTCAGGCAAGCTTATAGAGCAATAACTAAGGCAGAGAGGAAACTGCAAGGTGAAGAAGAAGATTACTTCAAGAAGATATGGTCATATGTGGCTGAAATAAGAAGAACCAATCCTGGGAGCACTTGTGTTGTGAAATTGAGTGAGAATGTTGAGGTGGATGGACAACAAAGATTTCTGAGGATGTATATGTGTTGGGAAGCCTGTAGGGAAGGATTTAAACATTGTAGGCCAGTGCTTGGGGTTGATGGCACTCATCTGAAGACCAAGACAGGGGGGCAACTTTTAGTTGCGATTGGAGTAGATGCAAATAATAGCATCTTTCCACTTGCTTATGCTATTGTTGAGGGTGAAAGTAGAGAATCTTGGGCTTGGTTCTTGAACCTAGTGAAGAGGGATGCTGACATCACAAAAGCCAATGAGCATGTCTTCACTTTAATGTCAGACAAGCAGAAAGGGCTAATTCAATCTGTGAATGAACTACTACCAGGTGTTGAGCATAGATTTTGTGTGAGGCAACTATATGGCAACATGAAGGCTGCAGGTTTTACTGGCAAAGCTCTAAAGGATACTATGTGGGAATGTAGCAAGGCATGCACTCTGAACTCATATAAAGCTGCCCTATCCAAATTCAAAGAAATTGATGGGCAAGCATTTGAGTGGCTGGCAGACAAGCACCCCATAGAATGGTCAAGAGCACACTTCTATACTCAATCCAAAACTGACATGCTGACCAATAATATTTGTGAGTGCTTTAACAGTGTAATACTAGAGGCCAGACAACAAGCCCTTTTGGTGTGCCTAGAAAGTATAAGGAAAATGCTTCTAACAAAGTTGTTCACTAGCAGGACTAAGGCAAGAAAGTGGACTTCAAATCTGTGCCCTAGAATAGTAAAAAAAAAAAAAAAAAGAGACTGAGAAGTTAGCTGCAGGTTTGATTGGCTATCAGTGTGGTGACAATGACTTTGAGATAATGGGATCGCATGGTAACCAACATGGTGTGGATTTGGAGAAGGGAACATGCACTTGCAGGCAGTGGGACTTAACTGGGATCCCTTGCAAGCATGCAATATGTGCTATTTGGCTGAAATTTGGAAAAGGACCTGTTGATGCATATGTCCACTCATGTTATTCTAAAAACATTTATTTGCAGATATATGGAGGCTCCATAAAGCCAATGGCTGGCCCAGATGAGTGGCCTTTAACTGACAGACTTCCCCCTCTTCCACCAGTATATGCTGCTAGAGCTGGAAGACCAAGAAAACTGAGAAGAAAATATGCAGTTGATCTGAGCACAGATGGAGTCCGAGTAGCAAGAATACATATTAAATTGTATTGTTCAAAGTGCAAGAAGGCAGGCCACAATGCAAGGAGATGTCCGGACGATCCTAACATCAAGGAGAAGCTGGTATAGTGTCCATCTATATTTTATAAGGTTATTTTCTTATTATGATATATTGTGTATATTGTGTGCATTAACTACATTGTCTTTACATGTTATCAGATGCAACCTAGGAAAAGAAACAGGAAACCTAAGAGCAGGCAGAGTGTTGGACTGCATGATAGAGATGAGGGAGTATCTATACAGGAAGAGCTTGTTGATGACTCTAACCTTGTTGACATTACCATGATGTGTGCCGAGGAAGCTATTTTTGGAAGTGAGGTTCCTATTGTTGTGAGTGTGGAGGACACTAATATGTTTACACAGGACACACAACTCACTCAGGTCTCAGAAGAGAGGACAGAAGAAACCAAAGAAGAGAGCAAAGAAAAGAGGTTAGATGAGGGGAAAGAAGATAACAAAGAAGAGAGCAAAGGAGAGAGTGAAGAACAGAGCAAGGAGGTATCAGAAGAGGAGACTGTTGGGACTTACCAGAGGACAAAGCAGGGTGTTAGGATATGCTATGGACCACCCCCTAGTCAAAAGAAGGGCAGTACAAGTGTTCCTAAATCTTCTCAGGTTAATCCGAGACCCAAACTCACCATTCAAAGGGGATCAAACTATGCTACTAGATCCAAAACAACATTCAAATCAGTCTTCTTTGGAAATGATGATGAACCCATTGATATAGAGTAGTGGTTGGAGTCAAATGTTTATGAATGATGGTACTTTGATGATGTAATTGTATGGACTACCTTTTTTGCCTTTATGGGTGTGACTGTCACGTGTAACAAAACTCATGTTTGTTAGGTTATTATGTATTGTTTCATCTCAGTGTGATGATGAAATGTATGGGATAGCATTTTGGTTGTACACTATCTCATCTTTTTTGGGAATGACTTTATTGTGTAACAAACATCATGCATCTTAGGTTATGATGCAAGTAATTATATGGATGTGAAGTGACTTCATTTTGGATGTTTGTCTGTAATTGGTTCTTAAGTTATATATGTGTCATACATGTGTGTTTGAAGTGATTATATGGTTGTTAAGGAAGACATCATAGCATGTTTGAGTGGCATATTTGTAAGTTTTGCAGTCCACAAGATTGAAGTCAATTTGAAGTGATTTGGAACTGATATGTGTCATCACTTAAGGAACTGGTTTTTTAAAGGAACTGATATGTTAAGGAACTGGGTTTTGAAGTCGTCAATTGGCAGACATATGTGTAATAGATATGTGTTCCACACGTGTTTTAAAGTCATCAGTTGAAGTGAGGTTAATCCAAGGTAATAGATATGAACTCATAATGAACAGCTTAGACTCATAATCATATGACTTTCATTTATTTTCATACCAAATCATGATAATAAAGACCTTTTACAAAGGTTTTACAAGTACATGAGCACACATCTCATCAACACCAGCACTACATTATTTGGCTTTCAAGTACACTGAAATAATAACAACCACAACACACATAAAGGACACCAATGTTATACATTTACTACATTTTGTCTGCATCTTCTCTGCTTTGAAACTTTTTGTCTCCAATGCTTCAACCTTCATCTCCGATGAATGGTTTTTCTCTTCATACACATTCACTTTTTTTAATAATCCTGGGATGATTTTTTGAGATCTTTTGCACATTGGAGGGTCAAACCACTCCATCAACCCACAACCTTCAAATCTCTGCAACCACATATATAAACAAACAATTCAATCAATCAATATTGAATTTCTAAATATTTCATATATTGCATTTAACCTATCTCTTTCACAATCATATATAACCTGAGTTCCAATGCATTTCCAAAACCTTCTCCCACAGTTATCCGGTTTCCAAGTTGTCAGCAGCTTCAATCGTTGCCCACATTCACAATACTTGACCGGAATCCACTCTCCATATTCATATTGGCTCGTACAATCTGAACTTCCAGATTTTGAGCTAGACATGAACACTTCTTCAGGGGGGTTGGGGGTGATACTAACGATGAAGGGAGTACTTATGGCGAGGAGAAACTATGGCGAAGGAGAAGCAATGCTACGGTAAGGAGAAGCTATGGCGAAGGACTACTCGTTTCTAATTTTTTGGTTGACCGAAAATTGCTTTTAACGTTGGAGTTAGGTAGGAAAGTTATAAATGCTATTAAATGACACAACTAACCCTCATTAATTATTTTTCGGTTGACATTAGCCGGAATTGAGCCCGGAAGGACGATGGGTGGTTATGGAGAAAAAGTCAAGGACTACATTTGGTTAAATTGAAAGTCAGGGGATTAATGTAGAAGTGACATAATAGTCATGGGACCAAAAGTGGAATTTTTTCGTTAAAGATATGGAGTACATTTCAATATGCATGAGAAAATGAGAGACTAGCATAATTCTTCCTAATAAAATGCTTCCTCCGTCCTGTTAAGATTGTCCCAGACACTATTCACTTGGTCAACACAAATCACTCTTAATCCCTTACTTTATATATCAATTTTTTATCAAATTTGATTCTAGTTTTTGCAACTTTGAAAAGTTTTTAATGTAGTTTCTGAATATGTAATTTTTTTTCTAAAAATAATTTGAGAGCGAACATAGATCTGTTTGCTTTATCGTCTGTCAAGCATCGTAAACCGAATTGTTCCAATCTTAGTGGGACGGAGGTAGTACTATTTTTTGTCATAAAGAAGTGGCAGATAATACTAGTCTTTCATTTTCAGTTGTGCCATTAAAATTGTCTTATACCAAATATGTAAAATTTGTGTGATTCTGAACCATTCTTCCATCATTCTTATTTTATCAATTCAATATCAAGTATCAACAATTAAAACTCCCTCGTTCTTAGTAATCGTGTCACCTCCTCATACCTTAATGTTAGTGAGACTGAGATGGTCTATAACGACTAACTGACCGTGAAAAACTTGGTGTCCCATATTTTGTTAAATGTGTTCTACATCTGTATATTTTGCGTCAATGACCTTGATGGACCATATCTTGAAGCCATAAGAACAATGAAAGGAAGGAAAATCGTACACAGAAATGGGAAGCTAATTATTGTCATGTATATAGTTTATACAAGTTAGACCAGGGAGAGTTGGAGACCTATTGTACAAGTATTTGAGCTATGTGTACAACAGGATGCCCACAAAGAGTTTGATTTTGTTCACCTCCCATTTAGAGGATGACCATCACCCCCCATTACTTTAATTATTAAAAGTAGATTCACCTATACCTATGTCCATACTCGTAGTAGCTTTGGTTTAGAAATAAGAAATACCATGTGGGGTTAGTTTAACTTTTAGCCATATCCTTTTACTTTTTTACTCCGTATCTGTCCACCACCCACTTTCTTCAAAATCGGAGTTTTCTTCAAAATCGAACTACTAACCTGTGAATTCCCTAAGTTCCGTTCTCATTTCTGCAGCCAAAGAAAATTGGACTCCATGTTCTTTGCTTCAAAAATCCTAACATGCGGCTTCCGTATAGTTCTGTTGACATCTCCTTTGGCAGCTGGTGCCTGGTAGAGATGAATTAAGAAACCTTCATACGCTTATAAGGTATTTCATAACTTTAGGATGCTTTTTCTTTCACTCATACTACGTATTTCATTTTGCAGTTGCCATTAAAAGTTTAGACATTTCGTATCGTCCATCTTTATTCTTAAAAATATCTCTAAAGATTTTATCTGTCAAAATTAGTTATTTAATGAAGTTTTTTTTTTCTTGATAGATTTTTTCTTGATAGATTATACTGAGGTCTCAACGAAAAAAATGAGACACCACTACTTTTCAATATTATTTATAGACCTGAAGTATATTTCAATTTGTTTCATACAGATATTTTATGGTAATTTGTTACTCATTTTTTTAGATTTGCAGTCTTCATCAGTTATCATGAGTATTCCAGACTTGAATTTTGTTGTGAGTGAAGACACTCCTATTGTTAATGAAGAGTGTGGGGGTTTACATAACCATCTCTTGGAAGAAAACAATATTGAAATAGAACCTGAAATTGGTATGGTTTTTGATAGTGCAGAAAATGCTTACACTTTTTATAACTCTTATGCAAGAAGGGTTGGTTTTAGTGTGAGGATTTTCAGAACAAACAAAAACAAAGTTGATAGTAAAGTAATTCAACGTCAAGTTTTAGTGTGTTCATGTGAGGGATTTTACAAGAAAGTCAAAACACCTCAGAAGAAACGAGATGAGACACGTTGTGATTGCAAAGCATCCTTTGCATTTAAACGTGTTCCAAATAACAAGTACCAAGTGATTGGTTTTGAACCAGTGCATTCTCATGACCTTGCACCACTTGAGCATGTTGGTTACTTGAGGTCTCAACGAAAAATTGAATTTACACAAGCTGAATTGATGACAACAATGCATGCATCTGGGTTGAAGCAAGGGCAAATTTTCTCCTATATGTGTGAAGAAGCGGCTGGAATTCAGAATCTTAATTTTACAAAATCAGATTGTAATAACTTTCTTCAAAGAAGACGTGCTGAATTTTTCAAAAAAGGTGATGCAGAATGTCTTCTAGAGTACTTCAAGCAGAAAAAAGAGGAGAACAAACATTTCTTCTATTCCTTCAGAACATATGAAGATGGTGAAATATGTGGAGTATTTTTTTGTGATGCAAAATCTAGACGTGATTATGGGCTCTTTGGTGATGCAATCTGCTTTGACACGACATTTCGAACAAATAAATATGACATGTTATGCGCACCCATTGTCGGCATAAACCATCACGGACAAACATCATTGTTTGGTTGTGGCCTACTAGATGGGGAAACATATGATGCAATTACTTGGTTATTTACTACCTTTTTTGAGGTTATGGGAGGACAGAAACCAAGGAGCATATTCACGGATCAGTCAGCTGCTATATCATCTGTAGTTGATGAGCTTTTGCCTCAATCCCATCATGGATTATGCTTGTGGCATTTATGTCAAAATGCGGCAAAACACTTGGGTTCTAATGGATACAAAACATTTTCATCACAATTCAAATCATGTATTTATGATCCAGAAACTGTTGAAGAATTTGAGTCGATGAACCTCAGTCATGCTATGGAGTCGGTAAACGAGTTATATATTTTAACTGCTTAGTTTCACATTTGAGTATATTAATGTATTTTGTTTTTATTTCTTTTTGAGTAGATAAATGTTGGACAGGGCCCAAATGAAAGTGGTAGCAATAAAGGTTCAGAAATGATGGAACAGAATGTTATATACCCAGATGCAATGATTCCGGTTCAAAGTGATTTTCGGCCGTGGTATATAATCTTAGGTGGTATAAGTTTACTTTTCAAGCCATAGTTTTAATATGTAATCATACCTATTTTGTTTTTCAGGTTTTAAAACAATGTTGCTGTTTTGAGGGTGTTGCTGATGTGCAGAGTATAATTGCACTAGTAAAATTTTTGACTTGTAAAGTTCTATATGTAATCAATCCCAAGGGGAAAGTTAATTTTTTGAACCCCTATTTACCTTTAAATGGGTGATGTTTTGATGTTTTGTTGGGGTTAATTTGGCTGCATTGCAGGTTTTGTTGAAGTTTTTGTTTTTGTTTGACTAGGTCTGATGTAGTAAGGATTTAGGCCTATCCTGGATGGGTTTTTTGTTCCTCAATGCTGGTTTTGAGGGGGAATGCCCCTGACTTTCTTGTATTCTAGTCAATTGTTTATATACTGCTTTGTATTGTAATCTGTCTGGAAAGAATTTGCTTAGCTTGTCCCATATTAGATGTATGCTGTTCATTACTTCATTGGAGTATTTGTGTAATCTGTCTAGAAAGAATTTGCTTAGTTTGTCCCATATTAGATGTATGCTGTTCATTACTTCATTGGAGTATTTGTTTTACTTAGTTTAGATTTCCACTGAAAACCAACAAAAACCGTATTCAAATCTACAGAATTGCTTCAGTAAAATGAAGATGGAATTATGGAAACATATACGGAGTATTTATATTTTAATACAATTAAAAAAATATTTTTAATCTGTAAAAGGAAAAATATGACATACTAGTGTTTCATTTAGTCAGTTAAACTTTATATCCATTAAAAACTTTAACCATTCGGACGTATGGAATAGGACACAACAACAAATTCTAAAAATAAACAAATGACTTTATTCATGTATAAAGGGAAAAGGTCCCACATGTCTAATCTAAATGAGTACTATAAAACTAAAAATACGGAGGTTTCTAGAGGATAAGCAGGAGTCCACTAGTGGGGTGTACTTTTAATAATTAAAATATTGGGGGGTGATGTTCACCCTCTAAATGGAAGGTGAACAAAATCAAACTCGCCCACAAAGGTTGAACTATAGGACGGTTATATCTAACTACAGACCGAGTCCAGGCGTCCAGCATTGTGTCTGAGCCTCAGGCTGAGGCATCACGTTCCATGTCTGAATGACAAGCAATGATGCTTCTTGGTATGGAAAATCATAACATCTCTGTTTCTTTTGTACTGGCAACTCTAGCATTCTCACGATCTTGTTTGAAAGTCCAATACAACGGCGTGTAGAACAAGCAACACAAACCAAATGGCACTGCCATCATTGCAAACAGGCCTCTTGAAAGTGCATAGGCCTCTCGGGGAGACCCTAAAAGTGGATCGACGGATTTGGTATCATACCCATAAATTTTCTCAGCAAGGATACCAACGGTGGGAGCAGCGAAAGAAGAGAAGGATATTTCAAAAGCACGGTCGAAAGCATAAATCATGGTGAGGTGTTTTGAAGGCACAACTTCGGCAAACATGGGACCGTTAGTGGCAGTGCCATTCCAGCTTATGGTAAGCCCCATTAGGAATAAGATTGCCGCAAAGGTATTGTAGCTTGCTACAGATTGAGGAATGACTCGAAGAAGAATCCAAGAGAAAGGGATGCCCATAGAAGCACTGAATTGTGCACACATGATACGTCCCGAATAAGGGTATGCCTTTGATACCCGATCTGCTATTATTCCCCCAAGAAAGGATCCTAAAGCACATCCAGCAGCAAAAAGCCCAACGAGCGTAGCTGCACTGTTATGATCAAATCCTGAATGATGAGTTACCCCAAATCAGAATGAGTGAGGAAATAGATAGTACACTACAATAAATTATGAAGCACTATGATAGATTTCAAGATTGGGTTGGGGTGAATCCAATCCGATAGCTAGTTCAACCCAAAGTCATATTTACTCACCATTCTCTCTTTATCTTTCCAGTCAGATCTAGAACTCTAAGAAACACCCCCCCACAAGTACACAACCGGTCATTTTAAATCTAACCGGTTGGTCCCTTGCAAATTGGACTTCCTCTTCATCTGAAATAAGGGCAACCAGGCTAAAGCCAGCGGGAGATGGTCTTCAAGATGGACAACTGGATAAACAAAGTGAGCTAAAATCTGCTCTCATACCATATAATAAAATTAGGATTGAGTTGAAGTCTCTCAACACGGCTATTAGGCACCTCGCCCAAACCACACTAAAAAAACTCTTAGCTAGAGTTCAACTTAGAGCCATTGATCCATCACTTCTTTTTATTTTTTTGATGTGGGATATTAATACTAATAAACCGTTTGATGAAAAAGCACTATATAATAAACTCGGGCGCATCATTCTTACCAATCAATTCAAACCATAGTGTAAAGAAGACAATTGCAGTCCAAGGAATTGAGCCGACCAGACCCTGTAGCACGATGTACTGAAATGTTGGCACTTTCATAACTGCTTTTGTGGCTGTCCAAGACTCCACCCAAATTGACATTGAACTAGCATTTCCCTTCTGTATTAATTCATCTCTAAGGAACACATAAATCAATCATCTTACTTTAACAATCAAGTTGTTAAAATATAGTCGTAATATAATCCTCATAGTTTTAAAAGTATTATACTACTATGATATTGTCATAGTATCCAGTTCTTGTTAAGTTTAAGGTTTATTTTTCCCATTCTCCTGGGCTATAGGTCAACTATTTCACTATATAAGCATCATGATACATTCATATTCTCTAGAAATTATAAGGCTATAAGTTTTTATCTTATCAATAAGTCACAATTTATTTTTCAACACAAGTTAACAAAGGCTCACTAAACTGTCTCGCTTCTTTGGTATGAAGCAGCAGTCAGTCCATGCAATTTTGGACGCGATTTTCACTATGGGTCATCCAGAAACAGTCTCTCTGTGCTTTAGTACAGGGGTAAGACTGCGTACATCCGACCCCCCCTTACCCCACTGTAGGTGGGAGCCTTTGCGGCACTGGGGTAAATGAAAATGAAAATGAAATGACAAGTTAACAAATAACAAAAATAAAAATCGAACTAATAACATTGGGTTGCGAATTAAACACTGCCTATAAATAAAAAGAAAAAATTCATAAATATTACACTGCACTTATTAATATTTAATACCCATTGGCAAAAGCTGTTGATTATTAAATTTAGGACAAAAAAAATGTTGCCAATTACCAATAATCAACCAACAATTACCATTTGTCAATGCAGTTACTAATAAGTAGCTGACCATAAATTGTTTGCAAGTGTGTTGGTGACAAACTTGTAATATAATAAGAAGTTAACATTTTTGCCTAACTGGTATGTAATTAAATATATTGAAGGGAAAATCCCTAAATAAAACTAACAAAGATGCAGATGGGTGTAACTCATTTACCTTTCAGAAGTTCTAGTACTATCATGGTCAATCCTAACTAGTTTTCTCGGGTCAACAACAAATGTAAAGACAAGAAACCCTATCAAGCAGCTCAATGTGGCCATCATGATAAACGCACACCGCCATCCTTGAAGGCCCCAAAAGTTGTAACCAGCCATCACTGTAGCAATAGATCCACCCCCTATGCCGCCAACTATCCCAATAAGATTCAGAACCCCAAATCCAGTCCCTCTTGCCTCATCCACATAGCTATCAGCTATGAAGGACTGAAGTGCTGGTATTACGATTGCCAGTCCAAATCCATTCACTGCTCTCCACAGCACAACCTGCATAAAATACTGGCTTGCACCCACTGCCCCTGTTGACAGAGCCCAGCACACTATACCAATTGCAAGTACAGTTGGGCGATCATAGTTTATGACCAGTATACCTGCCAGAGGTGATGCGATTCCCTGCACAAAGTTCCTCGCAAATGTGAGGTATCCTAAGTCAGACGGCCCTGCTGTAAATGCTTCACTGACTTCTTTGTATACAGCTGGAAGGAGATTCTCATCAGCACGCTCCATTATCGCGGCCATGTTGATTATTAGAAGGGAGAGAGAAATTCCACAAAGTTTCCTTGCTCTGTAATAATTTTCAATTTAAAAACCATCACATTATTCTGAAAGCGCAGTCAGCCAACTTGTATTGAAAAATTGAAAATATACATTTGATTGAGTAGATGATCAAGTTCGAGAAAAATATCGGTGAAGACTTTGTCATAACAAACCAATAATGAGATTTGGATTACTTGTCCAGACTGATTGAACTTTTAGGATCACACCCAAGTCTTAATCAATGTACAGATTATTCCACCCACAATAAAGATTGAAAATGAAGATATCAGATCACTACGGAATAAGCATTCCAAGTTCAAATTGAACTATCCATTTCGCATATGAAGGAGATAGGTAAATGCACATCAATTAGGCCTGTAGCTTTCACAGATATATTACAGAGAACTTTTCTCGATGCCAAGTGTAAACAAGGGTCCTATACTCCCAGAAAAGTTGCCATCTTAATGATGATCTTAATCATGGTACCATCTCCATATAGTTAGTATACAGATACAAATATCGCAATACAACAATCTATAAAATGTAAAATGTGGGTACATATATATATAGAGTGCTATTCCTGTCCGGAATTTCCGGACAGGAGCCCCGTCCGGCCTCCTCCATTTGGGGGCCTTCCCAGTGGTATTTTTTGCTCAAATGTTTTGTGTATGTTCCTCATCAAGTCTAGTCCATCCATACCAAATTTCAGCAAAAAATTCAATCGGGAAGGTCGCCAAATGATTTTTGCAAGTTAACTGGTCCGGAAAATACATATTCCGGACCAGTTAACTTGCAAAAATCATTTGACGACCTTCCCGATTGAATTTTTTGCTCAAATTTGGTATGGATAAACTAGACTTGATGAGGAACATACAAAAAAAATTTGGGTCAAAAATACCACCGGGAACCACCTCAAATTGAGGTGGCCGGACAGGGGAGTGGTCCGGCCTGGCCGGACCTGAATACTCCTGTGTGTATATGTGTGTGTGTGTGTGTGTGTGTGTGTATCTAGGGGTGAGATCACATACAAACTAATCTTCCCATGCTAACCTACAAACTGTCACAAACTGTGCATTTTTACATTATTTGTACTGCATATTGAAGTTCAAAGTGTTGCATATTATTTGTATTGCATATTAAAGTTCAAAGTGTTGCATATTATTTGTATTGCATATTGAAAATCACGATGTGCATCTTTACATTATTTGTACTGCATATTGAAGTTCAAAGTGTTGCACATTATTGAGTTTGTAGGTTAGTATTTTAAGCATGGTTTGTATTTGAACTCTTATATATATATATATATATATATATATATATATATATATATATATTTGTATACATTTAAATTTTGAAGACATAAATGTAGATAAAAATTTCTAGCAAACACACACGCACACACGCACACACATATATATAGATATATTATTCATTTAAAAATATTAATACTAATATTACATTATTTAAAGAAATTATGAATTATGTCATATACGGAGTATGCATTATTTTAATTATTATTATTATTATTAATATCATCATTATTATTATTATTTTATTAATTATTGATCGGTTTGTTCGTGAAGTTTAAATTTAGTGCACTTTTAAGTTATGGCATCCATTAATAAACAGTTCATGTAAGGTAGTAAGGTGAGCTCAGATGTAATAATATGACATTATTACAAAATGTTATGGATGATGTCATAAATTAATAAATAATACTCCCTCCATCCCTTATAACTTTGCCAACTTTCTTTTTTTGGATGCCGCACTAACTTTGTCATTTTCCCTTTTAAGTAAAGAATTTGTGGTTCCAGTTAATTCTCTCTCATCTGCACAAACCTCAACCACACAGTTTTTACTTTATTAATCCATGTGCCGGTCAACTTTGGCAAAGTATTGAGGGACGGAGGGAGTAGCTTTTTATTCATTATTGATTCGTTTGTTCTTGAAGTTTATACTTAATGTGCTTCCAAACAATACAAACATCCATCAATAAGCAGTTTGATAGGAACCCATTAGTATAATAATAATAAAATAATGTTACATAGTTTGTTATTATGTTAAAGATGGTCTAGGCCTGGTATTATTAAGTTATGGGCTGGCCCGTTAGAATACAATTACTATTCCAAATTCTGCCTAACTTCCATATTCCCTTCTTCCCCTTCTTTTAGTAATTTTAGTAATTGTATTCTAACGGGCCAGCCCATAACTAACTAATACCAGGCCTAGACCATCTTTAACATAATAACAAACTATGTAACATTATTTTATTATTATTATTATTATTATTATTATTATTATTATTATTATTATTATTATTATTATTATTATTATTATTATTATTATACTAATAGGTTCCTATAACAGTTCATATAAGGTACATTCAGAAGTACAATGATCAAGGTACATCCAGCAAGGTAAATGGTCACTCTTTAGAGAAAATTTAGCAACCTCAAATGCAAATAAGCATCCTTTTAACTAAAAGGATAAAAACAAAATATGAAGAACAAGATAAAGGAAAAATTAGGAAGAGCAACCATCAGAGAATCCTTCAGGAAAAATCAGAAAATTACACAAATATCTTTGATGACAGGATCCATCTAAATAAAGAGCATTACATTTTTATTTCAAGATTCCAAATACATAAAAGTTTCTGAAACGCAAATGTTACACATCATTGAAGTATCCGTGCTACATAGAAGTTCACTGACAACAGCTGTGCACCTAGGCAGACAGACACTCTATATGTTATCTTTCTTCAGGAAGTAAATGAATGTAAGGGAAATTGGCAGACAGACACTCTATATGTTATCTTTCTTCAGGAAGTAAATGAATGTAAGGGAAATTGCCCTAAATAGGAGTAATTGGGGTTTGGAAATCTAAAATAGGACTACTATGTTTTTCTTTCTGAAATAGGAGTTGTTATGCCATGCATGAAATGATTGAAAAATATTGTCATTAATGATAATAAATACTACCATGTTAAATTAAATTGCTCTGTACTTCAACTATTTGGCAATAACGCCTATTAGTCCTATTCCGGGAATAAAAACGCAGTAGTTCTATTTTGGAAATCCAAACTCAATATACTCCTATTTTGGGAATTCCAATTGATAAGAAGATGTATGCACTAAGCACTCTAGATGCAACACATTAAATAAATCATAATGTTTTCAACCTCTAGGAAAAGATGAAGTTTTAATCCCAAAAAATGTATTCATCCTCAAGAGATCTACCACTCCATTAGAAAAGGAGAAGAAATTGATTGAATGGTAATGGTAAGACGACCCAGAATCTAAAAGTTGAACAGACAGCGACGTAATACAGATAGCGGTTGCATATAGTAGACGAAGTGCCAAAAGAACTTACTTCATTGCTCCGAAGTCTGGTGGAAGAAGATGAGGCTTGGACCCAAACACAAGAGGACGAAACTTAGAAGGGCGGATACTCAAGCGCATGTCTCAACAAAGAAAGACGAACTCCTTGAGCTGCGGCACTGCAAGGGCGTCGCTGATTGCCCGGACATGGATTCCATTCGCGATCCGATCTCACGTCACGATTAAAATCCCACGGAATATATATAAAAATGAATGACTGCGGCAATTGCTCTCATTTCACTCAACTTTACAATTTATTTCTTTATAAACTAGTAGATCACCGGACAAAGAAATTTCATACAAATTACTCAAGGAAAAAACAATAATTAACAAATTACTTTTTTATTCCACTTAAAGGAGAACAACTAAATAGTACTACTTTTTTTTATCATAACTAAATAGTACTACTTGTACATCATTATTAACAAAATCCAACATGAGTTTTACAAATTTTGGAAAACTTCTCTATAGGCAATTTTGATTGTCTTCATTGCGTTCTAATTGTCACCATCCACTGACAAAATGTTCAGCTCTTTTTAATTGACAACTCTAAGAATCGCAATGTACAGTTGGTCGTGAGAAAGAACATACTTCTTTAACCATTATTAATATTCATGGATTGATCAACCATTATTAATTAAAAATTGTCCCAATTGAAATTTGAAAGAAAATCTAACATTGAAGGCTTTAGTGATAACATTGGAATGAGGATGCATTCACCAATATTCCTTCAAGTTATAACCTTTACTTCTTAAATATGGTCACCAAGCCTACAAATTATAAGTCTAGTCGGATAAAAACTTGTCTTTCTCTAAAATTTGTAGTCATATCATAAAGAATGACAATGAAAAATTAAATTATTTAAATTTAAAAGGATATCTCGTTTGAAAGACTAAAGGATAAACTTGGAATATATTCTCCCTTACGATTTTACCTCATTCAAATCACTTGCATTCCTCATATTCATTATACAAATAATTTCACATATCATAAAAAGTATATGGAATTTATCAATTCATGACATGAAAGATAGATTAATTATCAATCTGGGATCTTAAAGATGATATGAGCTATCAATCCTGAATTGATAGCTCATATATCTTCCAGGTCTCGAACTGATTATATTCCCAATTGTTATTAGCGATATTTGGAAATTTTCAAGGTAGTTATGTATCAAATAATATTTACATGTTAAAATATTTGTAGAAATCAGGTACCATGGGAGATATTGAAGTGATATCTGTAAGGTAAAAATGATGCCACATAAGTTGAAAAAATTGTTATCTCACTGTCGTTGAACTTGTCGACGTATAAGATTTTGAGTTATGATAGAGGCACAAAAAGTTGTACAAAAAAATCTTACAAAAGGGTATGTAGGGCTGGTTTGCAACAGCTTTATTTAAAAAAAGCACTTCTCAGTTTTTAGCTTTAAAAAACACTTATTTACCAAACACTACCAATTTTTTACTTTTCTCGGCTTTCGTGTCAAAAGTGCTTTTCTCCTTTTTATACACCAAAAGCACTTATTTTACCAAACACTACCAACTTTTACTTTTCAAAATCACTTTTTTCTCAAACACTATCAACTTTTACAACTAATCACTTTTTCCAAATCACCCCAAAAGTGCTTTTTTTTTAAAGCAGAAGCTGTTGCAAACACTCCCGTAGTATCATCATATTATTTAACACATCAATCACCTTTACAATACTTTTACATCAATAGTAATTAGAATAGACACTTCACTTGTTTATATGTTTTTTAAGTGTGTTTGTACTTCTAGTATTTTTCTAAGATTTTTATGATTCATGATCCTAGAATATAATTTCAAAACATGTAATAGCTCACTCGTGTGATGCACGGAAGTTTTTGAATTAAAATTATATATTAGGGAGTAATTTTTAAGTGGTTTTTTTGGTATGCATTATTAATAACAAAATGAAATGTCCATATAATGAAATATACATGATATGCGTTTTCGTACTATTTGAAGAGATGAACATTGGGAGATTACACATCCTTAAAGAACTCTTTGAGCGTGTTTGCTATTGCTTCTACTTTAAAAATGTGATTTTTAAAGTGATTTTGGAGAAAGTATTAAATAGTAAAAGTTGGTAGTGCTTGAGAAAAAAGTGATTCTGAAAAAGTAAATGTTGGTAATGTTTGGTAAAATAATTGTTTTTTGTGTAATAGAAAAAATGAAAAGCAGTTTAAAACATCCTTCCACCTACTTCCAGCTTTTAGCTTTTAAGTGATTAATTTAAGCAAAAACTGTCATTTGAAAACACTCTTTTCAACTTCTTTAAGCCAAAAGCTGAAAAACGTTTTTTTAAGTAACTGCAAACACTACCTTTATTTGTGGTCTCACTTTTCGTTTTATTTGCCTAACTACAAATTTACTTGATTATTATTGAAAATAAAAGTAAATAAAAATTTATATAAATCTTTAGGACTATAAGAACCTTTTACTTAGACTTGCAATTTCATACTCTTATACTGTGGCGGAGCCAGAAAAATGGGTCAGGGGGGTCGAAAATCAATTATGTATAAAATGAAAATGGTAGATCGTTTTGAGACAATGTCCGAGTTGAATGTTTCATTTGTAGTTTAGATAAATAGGCATTCATAAGCAATAAGATAGATTGTCTTTGCTCTTTTTCTGAATCATGTCACGTAAGTAATGAGTTAATTATACGTTATTTTTAAAATTTGAAAACATAATCAATATTATGCATCAAATTTTCCTTATTTTACGTTTAGAAGGTGCTGATTTTCCAGAAGTCATAAATTTTTACTCGTAATGAGTTACGGGGGCCATAATATATCAAATCGAAAATATTTCAGAGCTCTATACTCTCAAACTTTCAGCGGGGTCGGCTGACCACCCAGACCCCCTGGCTCCGCCCCTGCTCTTATACGGAGTATGTTTTTAACTAATCTAGAAGGTATTTAGGTTTTATATGATATTTCTGATGTAATAAAAGATGTCTACCTAACATCTTCTTATCTGATACGGGATATAAATCAATTCAATCAAAACATTATAAATATACTTATCCACAGTATTTACATTTTATAAATATATATTCCATCAGTAATAGAGTATTATTGTATGAGTACTTTAAATTCTATTTCAATATAAACAAAATACTACATCTGTCCCTTAAAACTTTGACAACTTTCCTATTTTGGATGTCCTAGAAACTTTTTCACTTTCCCTTTTAAGTAAAGAATTTGTAGTTCCAATTAATTCTCTCTCATTTGCACAAACCTCAATCACACAGTTTTTACTTTATTAATTCTCGTTCCGGTCAAACTTGACAAAGTTTCAAGGGACGGAAGAAGGATAACATTATAACCCATATTAATCTAATGTTAAAACACATACGTACAGCCCATTACTTTAGAAGCTGTTCTCTTCGCCTGATCTGAATGTTTCTGATCTGAATTTTTTAAGTTCTGATCTGATCTGATCTGAATTTTTCTGATCTGATCTGATCTGATCTGAATCTTACTGATCTGATCTGATCTGATCTGAATCTTTCTGATCTGATCTGATCTGAATCTTTCTGATCTGATCTGATCTGATCTGAATCTTTCTGATCTGATCTGAATGTTTCTGATCTGGTCTGATCTGATCTGAATGTTTCTGATCTGATCTGAATCCTTCTGATCTGATCTGAATCTTTCTAATCTGATCTGATTCGAATATTTCTATGATTATAATTATAATTATAATTATAATTATAATTATTATTATTATAATTGCAATTCTATAATAATATAAAGGAACAAGGTGAGGAGTCTTTTTTGTTCCAAATCCCGCCCAAACTTATGGGCACAATTGGTATTTTAATATTTTTTGCTAATTAAATCCCGCCCAAGGAATGAAAGAGCTATTTAATGACTTATTATTAGTAAAAGCAACTGTCTAAACGTAGGTGTGAGTAATAATAACATACTCCATAGTTGGTAAAGGAAAGGTAATAAAACGTGAACTATGTACAAGGAAATGTAATAATGCGTAGCATCTAATCCATAGTTACGTTGGTAAAGAAAAGGTAATAAAACGTGAACTTTGTACAAGGAAATGTAATAATGCGTAGCATCTAATTAAATGCAATTGTCTACTTGCACTATTATGTAACACGTACGTAGGTCTGTGTAATTATAATAACATAATTGATAGATAAAGAAAATGTAATAAATGGTTAACTTTGTACCAGGAAATTTAATAGCATCTAAAATATAAATATATTACTCTCTGTGTAATTATAATAACATAATTGATAGATAAAGAAAATGTAATAAATGGTTAACACTACAAAAAAAACACGGCATTGGCAGAGATTTTGGCACGGATTTTGGTAGGGATACGCCAAATCCGTGCCAAAAACACTTTGGCACGAGCTATTTGGCACGAAAAATTGATAAGTCCGTGCCAAATTCCGTGCCAATTCCGCCTTTTTTTGTAGTGTAACTTTGTACCAGGAAATTTAATAGCATCTAAAATATAAATACATTACTCTCTCCATTCCAGAAAAGTTCGCCAAAATGTCGTTTCTTCATTAGTGATAACAAATTTTGGACAATTATTTTAATTATTACTCCGTATATTTGTATATAATTTATAAATTTTATACATTTATGAAAATTTTATATAATTTTAATAATAGTCTATAATCATGATCATAATCCTAAAACAATATCAGGCTTCGTATTTTATAATAATTAGGATTAAGAATATACGTAGTACATATCAATTATAGTTAGATATGCATGCCCGTAGTATATATATATTATACAGTAACTATTTGCCATAAATAAATAGGACCATACATTGTAAGTCTGTGATATTAATGCACACAAGGGAATACGATATACATGGAAATGCAATATTATATGCCTTCGTTAATACATACGTACGTTATGTGGTGAAAACTATTCTTGATAAGAGTTATGCCATCAGCCATATAATTCAAAATATGTACGATCTTATAAATAAACACGAAGCACATTGACTGAGTAGATACGAAGTATTATACATGGAAATGAGATTATGAGTGCGCTGCCATAATTCAAACGTTATACATAAACTAGCAAATTAAATATATTGAATGTGTATTTACAATAAAAATTTTAGGAACTGGGGGATATGTCCATATAAAACACCCATGCACCATTTTGATTTCATGCGATTCGATGATATTTTGAATGGAAGAGACAATGGTATATACTTAGTACATCGGTA